CAGTTTGATTCACCCATAGCTAAAAGGCCTGCGTTGTTTTATTTATATCTGAAATGCAGCCACTTCTGGGTTGGGATGTGGCAGCTGATTAATAGCTCACAACACTGCCCAGCAGTGTGGGAAAAGAAGAAAACTATCAAATCTTGTGAAAGAGGGCCCTTGGATCAGGCGGACACCCCGTCAAGCCAGGTGGGAGCATGGGTTCAGCACAGACTCAGGAGGGAGAGAGGAGCAGCACTGTGCTCTGATAATGGAGAAGTGAACTGTAAAACATGCATGGCTCTCTCCTCTGGTGACTGTCCCAAAGACAGGAGAAGGGTCTGAATAGCTTAAAAATCTGGCCCTGCTACCATCATCAGCTACGCAAACTAGACGCACTTTGTGGCACACTGCATAGGCATGCTTGTTGGGGTTTTTAATGGATTTATTCTTTGGATTTTTGTTGCTAACTCTCCCTCAAATTTATTTTCACAATTTCTAACCCCGGGCCCGCCTGTCTTGGGAGTGCAGCTCAGCAGCATTTCCTTGTTAAGAAGTACCACACATTGCACCATTATTTATTGGTATTGTGGTAGCATGTAGGAGGCTCAGGCATGGGCCAAAGCCCGATTGTGCTCGGTGCTTTTATAAATGGTAGAAGGCTCTGAGAGTCGTTCCACTGGGATTACTCCACTGACGAGATGGAGGAGTTAGTTGATGCTACCGAGAAACTGTCAGACTGGATCCCAAAGTTCAGCCTGAGGGAGATTTTCAAGGCACAAATGGAAGTGCCTTTGAAATGTCTCTCCTCTGTGTGTAACATAAAAAGGAGTGGGCTGAAGACAGGAGACTCTCCTTTCACTGTTAGCAATATAGAGCCTAAGATACACACTGGAGCCGTTCTGAGTCCATCCAGCAGAGGGTGTTAGTACGTGCATGGATGCACATGCATATGCACACGCATACACACACATATGCATGCACACACTATGTATAGTGGTGTCTGTGTTCAGGAACTGGAAGAACTCGTTTGCAATGACAAGTATGTGAGCTCTGACAAATTCTTGCAGGTTCCCGTGAGTCAGGAACCCTGCGTGGCATCAAATAGTTTTGTTGCTCTTAACATCTTTGAGGCAGACCTGCAATGCTGCCTCTTGTCACTTTAGGCTGCCTGTGTGCGTATGGACACAAATACCCCTCCCCCTACACACACACACGCACATTTCAATGGCATCACCTCCTCCCCTCTCTCGCTGCTTACCCACTACACCAATCTGCACCAACTCCCCCTCCTCTAGCTCCTACCCTCCATCCTCTGCTGCTGGTTCACCTCCTGACAGCCCCAATTGCCAAAGGCATTTGGGAGGGGAGGGGTTCCTGGTTGTGCAGTCACTGAGCTAAGGGTCTGAGCAGGATTTCTCCCCTGACAGGTTTCCCTTTCACAGGGACTCCCCGTCTGCAGCACTGTGTGCAATTAATAATTTAGACCCCCTGGGTACTTAAGGGACCATCTCTTGCCATGCGTTCCTCAGGCAATGGAGCTCATCTGGTTTGTCTCTGCCTCTGGAGGTCTGCTCCCCTGGAGATCAAAATGGCACAAGGTCTTCTGCCCAGCTGTCCCCCCCTCCACCCTGGAGGGAAAGTGCTATCACACCTAGGGAAACTGAGTCACCGGGGTTATTGGGCTGATAAGAGCCAAACTGCTGCCAGTAGGCATCTTGGTGCACTCTGCCTCTCTCTGCAGCACTGCTCTATGGACCGAATCATTTATGACCCATGTAGAAAATACATCATCTCCTTCCACATCTAGGCAGCTGGGCTGCTTCTGCCCTAATGTAGCTGATACATGCCTGTGCAGGCCAGTCAGGATGGAGTGTCTCTTGTAACCCCTCACACAAGGAGGGGTGGGTGGAAGGGTGCAAACACCTGAGGAATTCAGCAGAGGAGCTCAGCTATGAAAAAATCCAGCCATGCATCTGCAGCTGTCACTATGGTCCCCATCATGGTCCATCTGATTTCTGTGGGGCAAGAGGTCTAGAACTTGGATTTTCTTTCCCCCAGTGCTTAAGCTAACGGAGACTCTCCGGTGACCATTTGCAGTATAGGGGGAGTGACGTGCACTTGAGCAGTTCTGATCCCATCCAGTGGGGGGCGGTGGCATTCACTCACATACGCTAGCAGTTCAGGTGGACGGGGCCAGCCGCTGGCCCAAATGGAGCCTTTTAGCGCAGTGTTGCCTGTTGGTTGTACAGAGAGGTATCACTGCCTGTGGGAGACGAGATAATTTCTCCAGATGGGGTCACAGCGCTCCCTGCCCCATTACTGCTGGAGCTGGAGCTGAGGACGGCTGCCTGGGTGGGGCTCACATTCCCCGGGGCAGAGACACCCCCCAGG